GCACAGGCATTATTCACTTTCCAAGTGTTTCTTGAGCACTCAGTCACTGCTGGCACAGTTGGGAAATTTTGTGTTAAAGAAAATCATACAAGCAAGCACCATTAACCACACGCTTAAACCATCACTGTTGATTCAGGTCTTAATAACTAGGCCACCAGCCGTGCCGCCCGGGTCACCTTGTTTGCGCGGGCTGCCCGGCCGTGAAGGACCAGAGAAGGAAAAAAAAAAAAAAAAAAAAAAAAAAAAAAAAAAAAAAAAAAAAAGAGTGATGCAGAAAAATAAACTGAACAACTTTTGCCTCAGGGTCACATCGAAATTCCTTACCAAATTTAAAATAAAAAATCATAATAAACAAAAAAACATTTTATTTTATTTTTTTGTATTCTTTTTATTTTCTTTGGCCCCGCCGGGCAAGTGTTCCCGGGCCACGCTGGTAGCCTTGCTTAATAACAGAACCAAGTCCAGAGAGTCAAAATAAGGACAATTATGCATCCTCAGGTTGGGGGGCCAGGGGGAGAGCATGGGGGGAGGTAGAGGGGGGGAGAGACAGAGAGGAAGGGCAGGCGGTAGCACAGGCATTACACACTTTGCAGGTGTTTCTTGTGCGCTCCTAGACTAACTGCTGGCACAGTTCTGAAACGTTGTGCTAAAGAAAAAGTTGAAAAACATACAAGCAAATAGCACCATGAACCAACACACTTAAACCATGACTAGCTCCGGACGTGACCCGCCAAACCTAATGAGGCCCGGTAATGTAGCAGTTGGGCCTGGTACTGTACCGGTTAGGCCCGGTACCATAACAGTTCTAGCAGTCCAGGAGGGTAAAATCCGAGCCTACAGGATGTAGAGGCACTACAAAAGACAAGAGGAGGCCCTCAGAGGTTGTGGTGGGCTTAAACCAGCAATGTGGTTGAGTACCCTTAGGGTTAAGGTACCCAGGGATCAACGGGGGAGAAATGAAGGTCCACCGGTACACCCAAAGCACAGGCCCGATAATCGGGTGTGGTACCTTGGTAAACTGACACATTTTTAACAAGGGGTGTCAACCGCTGGGTGAAGATTTAACCCTGGTAAAGAAACATACACAGTCAAAAACGTTCAGTCAACGTGACCCAAATTGGATCAATTTGACTAGGCTTGACCCCAGTTAAGACCCCAGTTAAACGTAGGGTGCCCACCACACATTTGATGCCGGTTAAGACTTGAATTATCGACAAATAGTAGAATATAAAATACCACAGAGTCAAGATTATTAACCACGCATGCACATAGCACCCCACATCGATAAAGCACACTCCGTGCGGAGGGGGGACCACACACAAGGGATGAGAGACAATACCTCCCCGATAGATGAGCATTGACAATCCCTGTGGCTGCTGCCAAACCTCGCGACGAAGCCTCCTCCCATTTTAATCGCGCCCCCTCAATCATCGAAAAGCCATTTCTAACTCCCCGCTGTGCAGCCGGACGCCACAGCCGCACATTGACACTCATCTCTCTCTCTCTCTCTCTCTCTC